GATGAATCAAAAGATACAAGAAATTACGTTTATCTCATAGTATGTTGAATGAAAACAATTAGATCGACTGATGTTGTTTAATTCACTCATCAAAGCGATTAAATTCCGACTGAAAGGATTCTATTATTATTTATGATATAAGAATATCCAGCGAACGTCCACTTCTCCGGCTCTCTTGTATAACACTGTGGTTTGTCACATTTTTTCGTCCTCTACCTAGAACCCTCTAATAAATTTCACCAGATTTGTCACGTCTCACAAGTAAAAAAGATTCAAGTTTTCTTTCCTAAGAAATGTTACGATCTGGTCGAATGGGAGATAACTTATAATTAGTGGAGATATGGCTGTAGACTGCAATTTTATCACTACTTAGAAATAAATAAAGTTTTTATTTTGATTATGCGTCACAATAGCCGTATCTGCTTCCAGAGCTAATTCGGATCCTCTGATCAGGATGAAAATAAAAAGATCACGAACAGTAATCAATCTCAAAACTCCATCGGAACAAAAGACATTATGAGCATGGCAAACACGGACCTCTAAAAAATCAGAGGTGGGATCAAGTGCCAAGGAAGAGTAAAAATCCCCTGTCGACAGGTCACACCAGCCGTGTGTTCCTTGTCATGATCGAGCAAATGGAAAAAAAACGCTCGCAATTCCGTGTGAAATAATGGCCTAACAATTTATATGAAAAGCATGAGTCAACATTCGACTTAACAATAGATTGTATTTGCTAACAAGGTCATTGTATCCACCATAGAATGTGCGAAATATTGACTTTAAGCGAGACTGTTGATATCCTTGTATCCTCAACTTATGTGTCAATAGCTTGCCTCTTTTTAGAAATTACTGTATTGCCTTTCTTTAGTGAAATATCCAAATATGAAAAGGGTGTGTCAGACTATGCAGTGTCTTTTATTTCAAGCTAAAGGTATATGTCGAATAAACATAGGAATGAAAATGAATATTATTAATTGATAAATGTCATCGATATATTTAAAATGTTGAACAGAAGACCATAGAAAGAGACTTCTTTTCATGCAGAAAGATCTTGAATAATAGGTCTGCAAATTACGCAGCGTAAATAGGACCCATGGATATCCAACATATTGTTGGAACACTTGATCTCCAAAAACTACACATTGTCAATCAGAAACTCAAGCATCTTTTAAATACAGTGAAACTTGTTTAATCTGGATGTTGTATAATCCAAAATCTTGCCTAATACGATGTAAACTTTAAGTCCTTTTCAGTAATTTCCTTTGTTTAATATGTTGTCTAATCCGCAAAGTTTCTATGGAACCAGTGGTATCCGGATTAGACAAGTTTTACCGTATCAACTTCGGAGTACTTGTATGTAAATCAGAATGTTATTTAACAAAAAATAATTTGCAGATGATTGATGACAAGGTATTAAATTTACGAGTTCCATTTTTATTGAAAAACTAGCAGTTGTCTATGATGTCAAAAAGCATGGACTTTAACTTATCGTGGGAAATGGTTGTATGAAGTATCGAACGTTTTGATGCTAGTGATTTTGGTAGAAATTCGGGTTTTTCAAATTTTCTTAAAGTTCCTTTGAGTTTTTTGAGTATCCACATCTGATTAACACAACTTCTCAAATATGTTGTTGTACAGTACTCCTGCAATTTCTTCTTCACTGCTCTTAATATTTTGGTGAGGAGTAAAGAGACTAGGTAGAACATCTGCAGAGATGATACGGATATACATCACACCCCATGTAGATTAAACCTTTAAAACGTACTTGTGATAATACATCTATTTTTTGTTCACAATCTCTGTAAAAAAGGTTATTTCTAATTTCAAATTACTGTTATTTGATGTATGAAGCTTATCGGTGATTATTGTATTTCATCAAGTAGATATTACGATGTATGTAATGAACATACCCATTCCCATTTCACATCAATTAACAATAGTTACTATCATTCATAGTTGACTCGACATATCCCAGTGAGCTTGAAATAAAAGATACCACAGAGTCTGACACATCTGTGTCATATTTAAATAATTTACTAGAAAAGACGTTAATGGTAACCTAACAACAAAACTTTATGATAAACGTGATGACTTCAACTTTTCAATCGTCAACTTTTCTTACTTATGTAGCAATATACCCTTATCACCTGCATGTGGGGTTTATGTCTCTCAGTTGATTAGATACGCAAGAGCATGCTCTACGTATGAACAATTTCTAAAACGAGACAAGCTATTGACAAACAAGTTGATGAAACAAGGATATCAACAGTCTCGTTTGAAGTCATCAATTCGCAAGTTTTATGGTCGATACAATGACCTTGTCAGCACATATAATCTATCATTGAGTCAAAAGCTGACTGATGTTTTTCATACTAATTGTTAGGCCATTATTTATACACTGAACTATCTGCAGATTTTTCCGGGGTTTTTTTTCGTTTATGACAAGGAGCACACGGCGGGTGTGATCGGTCGGCAGGGATACTCACTCCTCCATTACACCTGATCCCACCTCTAAATTTTTGAGGTCCACTTTCGATATTGAATACTGTTCGTTATCTTCATATTACATCCTGTAGCAGCCCTCGGCCAATATCAGCCCTCTGGTTATATCGGGCTGATACAGGATGTGATATGGAATAGGGTATGTAGTTTTTCTATATATACATTGAGTATAGATACTGTAAAGTATAGTTCAATTTCTTACTTATAATTAATGTATAATTTGTTTGAATCGTAGTCTGGGGGAAAGAATAGGACCATACTAAGGTTTTAAAGTCTCAATAAAGAGTTCATGTATCCTTTCTTTGTAAGCAGTGTGACAAGAGGTAAACTCTTAAAAATATAATATTGTAAAACAGGGGTTAAATCAATATACTAATATCCATAATGATATGCTAAGTTTGTTCAGATCTTAGCACCTGTACATATATTATATTAGGATGGGCTGCAACAGATGTTAACTATGTTTTGATGAAATGTGAAAAATAATCATTTGAATAATCAATTTTAGAAGACAAATGAATTCACAATACTTCAATATAACATGCAGACATTTCTACATAACAGTAGTGAGCAATTATTGTTCTTGTATGGATCATTCTTTATGTTGGCCTGCATCACAGTTTTATGTATAAATAAATGTAGAATGAGCAGTGAAGGCTGCATTTAGGAAAGTTGATTTATGAACATTGTCTTGTCAAGAGGCCTTTTAATTTATATTTGTTTCAAAGCTTTTTTTTCTATTTGAAAGGAAATTTAAATTTCAAGATACTTCTCTTTGTGGAGAATTGGATGTTCGTTAAGTTTTCTTCTAAAAAATTTCTTTGATCATCATTCTTTTCTGTAAAAATAATAACATACTAGTATGTTGAAAATTTTATTTTATTAGATAATAAAAAAAAGATTTACTGTAAATGTATGAAGGACAGATCATATAATTGTTTCCAAAAATTTGTGAAAATAACTTAATTTATTTTTACATAAGTAAGTTAGTCGCATTGTTTCATTTTTTCATTCAAAATTCTCAAAAATGTCGTTAAAGCGATAAAATATTTTATAGATTAAGGACGATAGAAAAAAAGTAAGAATTTTGAACATCATAGAAAGTTTTCATTTTTTTTAATATTCTAAGGATTTGATATAAGTCAATTACAACCAAAAATAAGTTCAACAATATATATCAACATTTGATTTTTTTTTTTCATCGTAGTATGTGTCCTTAAGTGACACATCGTATAAATCATAGTCTCTTCAAAGGTGTTCAAAATTTGAAGAAAAATATTGATGGATAAGTATGAAAGAATGTGATCTTAAACCAAAGGCTGGACTGATAAATTGGTCTTCAGTTGTTGATGTTGTTTGATAATTCTTGTTTAATCGTATTATATTGACAAAGGTGTTAGGTTTTAGCTGCCCACACCATAGCCACACAATCAGCATCTGCCGGTGATTCTTTATGATTGCGTTGTCTACTCAATCTGTTGCGTCTTCCTCTGTTTAATTTTTCACCCATATCGCCTTGAAATCTTTAATCATCAAATAGATGTTAAACGACCATTTTATGAATTCTCATATTACATATAAAGAGGAAATTTATTGACGCAAGTGTTTGTATACGGTAAGGCATATTCGCCTCACCCACTCTGGGTAAAAACCAGAACAAAAAGTGTTATAATTCGTAATTAAATTGAGAGTGAAAAAAGTATGTTTATTCAATGAATATTACATGTACATACTAAGTTTTCAAGAAGATAAAAAGAATATTTCGAATTTTAAAAATGATTGATGCAAAAACACACACTTGATTAATAATTATCTAAAATTTTCATTAATATATGTACCATAGCATAAATAGGGGAAAAATAATCTTTAAAAAACATGAATGAAAAAAATCCTATTTTTCTTATGACTTTCATGGGTTTTTCATTTGGATAGCTTTCTGTAAATAATTAAACTAAGGGATTCAATTGTACTTGTATACAATATAAGAATGAGCTATTCTGGATAAAGAGATGTCGTATTTAAAAAGAATATAAACATTTATATATTTTTATTGAAATACTAAGTAATTTATTTATTTTGTGCTCGTGCATGTGTATCATTGATTTAATCACTGGCGAGTGATTTACACAGAACATATTTTTAGATAATTACTCTGGTTTAAAGATCAGCATATTGGTCAAGTGGAATAAGAACTGAATTTCGAATGAGTATCAGCTTATGTGGAAAAATCGTATTTATTTACCCTATATTTTTGTAAATAAATTTTTGAATTTTTATATTTTTGATTATGTTAACATTCCCGATACTTATGCCAGCATGTAACTTTAATGTATCAACATACAAGATAATATATTAAATATAATCCTTTAAAAAAAGGATAAATATGCTGACTAGAATTTACAGTGTAAATGTAAAATACGATTTAATTACTGATTTTCTATTATTTTGTAGATTACTAGAAGCCTGTCTTTGCTAAATATAAAACCTTAGCCATGAAGCAAAGAATTCTCTATATCATGACAACATTTGGAGTTATATGGATACTTACAATAATGCTGATTTTACGGGGTTTGCAAGAAAATTTTCAGCTTCAGTCTATCAGAGAAAATGAGTTATTTAAATTCAGAAAGGAGTGGAAAATTAATTTCAAAAGGAGAGAGTTTAAGCAGGAAAAAATAGAAATGACAAACAAATACGAGAAAAAGATTGTTGCATTCCACCGTTCAAACACTGAAGATTCAGAGGTTCATAGAGGATCTCTATCCCAGGAGATCCAGAGGATTTCGAAAGCCACCATTCCACTACATCAGAGATACAATTTATCAGCTCCAGGTATTGTTCGTGTAGTATGTTACAAACGTCTATATTGCAAATGAAATACATGTACCTCGTTTTGGCTGTAAACACTAAAATTACCGAAGATAATAAGAATGCAATTAATGAAGCTTTTACAACATAAGAAAAAATGTATATAGCTGTATGGTCATTGTAAGAGAATGTCCGGCATTTTTATTGAAATCTTTCATAAAGGGACTTTTTTGTATTTGTTAAACCAAAATTTTAAAGAACTGTATACGGTAAAGGCAAATTTCTGCCCACCCACCCCTCTCCCCTCCCCATAATGGTCAAATTTTGAATTTGCTCTTGAAATGTACAGAATTGCGTAGATTGTATATAAAATATGAATTAATCGATTATATAATGGATTGGAAACAAAAAATGGCATTTCCTGTCTCTGTAAAGTCCAAAACTATGGGAATTTCTAAAAAAAAAAATTTTTAAAAAGAAGTCAAAATGCAAAAATTTTGATCAGTTTGAACTAAAGAAATAATAAAGCACAGACCTGCTCAGGTACTATATCCACATATTTCATTTATATATTCATTTTTCACATTGTATATTAAAATCAAGTCTGAGCAGATCTGCGCTTGGAATTTTCCAGTAAACAATTTGACGTAAAAGATACCATTTTCTTATAAAACATTGTGATTTAGAATATACGACATTTTCATGACTTCATAACTAATTTGTGATGTGATGGTTGTTAAAATATTTACTGCTTTGAAGTCTGTAAATATTACCCTGGATTAGAATATAATTAAATATTTCTACATCGAAGTTTGATTTTGGGAGCAGATATGGGACATTAAGAAATTAAGTCCTATTTTAATGTCAAGCGATGTGGTGTTAACATGATCAAAAATGATCAAAATGTTAGACAGGTAAAATATTTCACCTCGCATCAGAAACGGTTTGACCGATCGGTTGTTGTCGGGATGTTCACTTCTTCATGGCACCTGATCCCACCTCTGATGTTTTTGAAGGTCCGTGTTTGCTCTGCTCCCAAATGGACTTTGAGCTTGAAAACTATTCGTTGTCTCCATATTTCATTTAAAGGACACCCCTCATATGCCTGCAATAAAAATGTACACTTAAATTATAAGTAAAGGTTAATTTAGACAAGTGATGTAGTCTACAACTTATTCTTGCACTATCCAGATCAAATCTTTTTGTCTCATGTTATGTACACAATGTTGATCTACCTCATAACTATAGAAAAGTACATAGAGATGGGAAAATCCATAATCCATACATGGACTCGACTCAAAGACGGTCTCGGACCAGGGGGTGTGTCATAACCTTGACTTTATGTCATTTGGACGCATTGATTTTTCCTGATCTATAACTTTTAATGGAAAAAAAAATATTAGAAGTTGATACTTAACATAAAGTACGTTTTTAATCAGAGTTTGTGTCATGGTCAAAAGACATGGTCATTTGATCAAGATCTAGATCAATTTGTGCCAATTACAGCCATGTCACTAAGATAGAAAGTGGATGGTGGAGTTGTGTTTCACACACGCATGTTTTCTCCTCAAAATTAAAAATTTATTTGTAGGTCAGTTTGGCAAAGGTATGTCGGTAAACAAAGCGTTACTTACAGACAAGGAACGGCAGGTGTATGAAGAAGGGTACAAAAAGAACGGATTTAACCAATTTGTCAGCGACCAGATACCTTTAGATAGATATGTTGGAGATGTGAAGAATAAAGAGTATAATGCTTCTATATATTCAACGTATTCAACACCCCAGACGAAAAAGTCTAATTCATTTTTTGGAGTAGATTCATAAAACAACATGTTTTGCTTGCAAATATGTTTCTCTATATACAGACATATTAAAGTTTTTTTGTCTTACGATGCTCAGTTAATGATAATACAAAAATGAAGCCTACTGCTCAGAAATGCAAAGTGTGAACATATCTAAATTTAAGGTATTCTCTCCTTAGATGCAAAATGAAAATCTACAGAAAGGACCTACCAACAGCCTCCGTGGTGATAATTTTCTATAACGAGGCTTGGAGCGTCCTCTGGCGGACAGTACACAGTATATGGAACAACTCACCACCCCATCTTCTAAAGAAAGTGATATTGGTAGATGACGCCTCGGTCCAAGGTAATTCAGCATAATTTATACTTAAGGAAACCGGTTTTTTTTTAACCTTTTACGATTTTTTTTTTTTTTGATTAAGTGATACCTTTGTATTAGATATAGTATTTTGCAGTCGATAAGTAAAACCATGGATTTTTTTCCCATGTTTAGCGTCGGTGGACAGGTTGTTTTAAGATAATGTGAGAAAATGAAAAGCTAAAAAAAACACATCAAAAAATACACACATACAAATATTTGCGATATCATTTGCTCTTTTGGTATCGGCATCTCATTAAAATGTGTTGGTTTGTGTGTTTTCCAGGATACAAAGATAGGTTTATGATTTTAAGATGGACTCTAAACATAATTAACTTGGAATGGTCTAAATAAATTCATAATTTTAATTGAAATCTTGTCAATAAACAACGCAATGACAAGAATGTCGCCTACTGACTATAGGAGAGCTTTACGCCTGAAGGTTCTCTGTAAGCATATTCTACTGTTTAATTGTTATACAACTGAATTTTCCATTTCAAACAAAAGCATAAATTACCCAGAAATGGGTTTTATTGTTTATTCTGGATTAATTACAGAACATCTGGGTAAGAAGCTTGAACAGGAGGTAGCTAAATACCCGAACGTTAATCTTGTCCGTGCTAAGAATCGTACAGGTTTGATTCAAGCCAGGAATCTTGGATTCAGTCAAGTCCAAACAGATGTGGCCATATTTCTGGATTCCCACTGTGAGTGTGCTGAAGGTAGAGTAGAGGTGATGTCACAATATATTAACCTTTAAACGTATAAAGTATTAAATTATGAAAAATCATGTAATTGTTGCAAAGACAGTAAATAATGTTTTCATAGTTTTGCACAGTATCTCCGGTAATATTGATCTGGAGACATTAATTTATTTTGAAATATATTTTGTGATCAAGTTTGAAGAAATATTTGTCAGGACATATTTTGGGATATTTTAAAAATTCATCTCTAATGTATTACTGATTGTCTATCATGCATGTCACTGTAAGCCAAAATTTTACTTGGAGATTCAATCTGGGCATTTATTTCGCGTATTTAAAAAACTGGTCATTTTCTTTTGTTTTTGTTTGATTAACATATTATACAAGAAATTGAACATGTACATCTATTATAAGTCTTATCGTATTTTCTTAGATATATAAAAAGGAAGTTAAAACACAATAATCTATAGTTTGTTATCTGGTGTACACAGGATGGCTAGAACCTCTGTTAGAAAGAATAGCAGACGACTATAGAAATGTGCCTATTCCCCTGACAGACACAATAGATTGTGACACCTTTGAGTACAGGGGCTCCAAATTGGAGTACATGTCTCTAGGAGGCTTTGATTTCGATCTCAACTACGCATGGCGACCAGTTCCAGAAAGGGAACAGAAAAGGCGGGGATCTTTGACTGCTCCAATCAGGTTTCGTGAAATATGGAGAAAACGAACAGTATTCAAGCTCAAAAGTCTATTGAAACAAAACAAAGCGGGAGTAGAGCAAGCACAAACTTCTAAAAAAACATCAGAGGTAGGATTAGGTGCTATGGAGACGGTGACCGGTCAACAGGGGATGCTTACTCCTCCTAGGCACCTGATCCCACCTCTGGAATTTCCATGGGTCCGTGGGTTCCATGGTTCCGTGTCTTATGCCCTCCTCTTCACATATTTGTATTGTTAATGTGATTGTTAATGTGTTTTTGTGATCGAGCACTGTTTGTTATCTTTATCTTTCACATGTAAGCATCCAAGTAAAATCAGCCCAAAATGTCGATATTTCATATTTTCATGCCCTCGCCACAAAATGTCTGGGACAAATAGTGTTATCCCTTTCCATTCGTCAATATGTCATAGTTAGTTTTCCTCACTGTTTTTGGTTATATTTGTAGATGTTGAGCTGATGTTTGCTATTTGTCTTTATATTAATGACTTACAGATCAAGTTGAAATTTCGTGTTGATTGGCCCATTTTTATGGAGTTATGGCCCGTGTTAGACTTTGAAATATTCTATCAATTCACTTTTTCCAGACCATTTTTAGCTATGTTTTGAGATAATTACTTGATGTCTGGGATATATCTTGATAAGGGTGACTTAAAGATCAAGTCTGAGTTTTGCGATGTTTAATTTTTTTTTTTTTTTTACAAACGGCCCTTAGACTTTGAAAATATCTAAATATTCACTTTTTTCCGAACGTTTTTGAGAAAATACCTAGTAAGAAGAATGAATTGGAATTTCAATAGGACTAATTGTGTCCCATAATTATCAGACCTTTTTTATTTTTATGACGGAGAATTTATTCAAAAACTGATATTTATTTTCATTCATATACTGTTTCGAGATATCCTACTGAACTCAAAATAAGACACTATGGAGTCGAAGGCATTCTACTTCCTAGATGGATATTTTACCAGAGAAAGACATTCATTGCAAACTTATGACTAAACTATAGGAATAACGTGATGACTTCAATTTTTCTCAGCTTTCCTTATTTATGAAGAAATAAACTTTTATCGCGCCTGAATATGAGGTTTGTATCTCCTAATTGATTCGATAGAGCATGTTCTTTGTTCGAAAAATTGCTCAAACGAAGAAAACTACTGAAAAATAAGTTGATGATACAAGGATATACTAGTATTCATCAAATGTTTGGCAAGTTCTATAGTTGATATAATGATCATTCTTTCATATAAATTTTGACTGAAGTATTTTATACAAATTGTTAGGCAATTTCACACTGAATTAACTACTGTTTTATTTCCGTTTACACTATCTTGACACAGAGCATACTGCGGATGTGACCAGTCGACAGGAGATGCCTTCTCCTCAATAGCACCTGAACCCATCTCTTATGTTTTCAGAGGTTCTTTTTGCTCTGTTCATAAGTTGTATTGCTCCATTTGACATTTGAGCATGATTATTATTTGTTATCTTCACATTACATTCCTATCATTTTTTTTCAAAGGATCGTAATAACGTAATAACTAAAAATATACAAATTTATTTTATATTACAACAAAATCTAACTATTTGGCTATGGATATACATTTAAGATAAATAAACACATACAACAACAATTAAATATTAGATACTTGACAATCTTATACCATTACCACTTTGCAGAACTCCGACTCATCTGGGCTGCTGCTTTGCCATCAGCAGGCGATTCTTCAATGAACTCGGAAGATATGACCCCGAGCTGAAAATATGGGGTGGTGAAAATATGGAACTTTCTTTTAAGGTATTACTTTATATGCTTTGAACTATTTCATCCATTGTGTATTTTAAATATATATTGTTTCTTGATAATATATTTACATCATAAAGCTACAGTCATGATTTAGTTACATGCCGATTTTGGTCGACATCCTGAATTTAAAAAGCAATACGTATAGCCGAAATGATTATACAAAGTTTACCACAGGCGATTTCCTTATTTAGACATGGATGTGTGGAGGTAAAATGGAGATAATCCCCTGTTCCCAGATAGGTCACTTATTCCGCTTTGTGATGCCCTACTCCTGGGGTAAGGACGGATATGGAAACATGATTAGGAATGCTTTGAGGGTCGCAGAGGTCTGGATGGACGACTACAAGAAAATATACTATGACCGCATCTTTTACAGCCAAAACAATGTGAGAATAGGCGGATTTTCTTTACTTATATTATCTGTTCCCAGAAATGCACATATACATTTTTTATTTCTATAAACCTCCATTATCTAATAAACTATTTTCTCACATTCAAGTAGGTACAATGTCGGCATTAGAGGAATATCCATTACCTCGAATAAAAATAAAGCTTCATATTTTTTTCATTCAAATCAGGCTCTTGTATTTTTTATTATATTTTTATTCAGGATTTTTTAATAATTCAGCAATAGAAGAAGACTCTATAGTGAATGCAAATGCTAAATCGATCACATTACAGGTGCAAATTTTACAAATATGCAAGGGGCATACAGACAAATATGTTTCCAACTTCATTGTCAAATGTAAATACATGTTACTCTATACCTTAAGTGATGAATATCTTATAATAGGTTCTTTCATATTTAAGTATAAAAACTGTACTTATTTTTTAAAACCTGCATTCCACACCATTAATGAAAGACCAGGCTATCTGACATAGGGCTCACGGCAGGTGTGACCGGTCAACAGGGGACAACAACTCCTTCTAGGCACCTGATCCCTCCTCTGGAATTCTAGGGATCCGTGTTTTGTGCGCTTTTCACAAATTTGTATTGTTTGTAGATTTCTTTGAGATCGATCACTGTTCATTATCTCCACTTATTTCATCGTAGTAAAAGTGCTATGGGACAAGGAAAAAGCATTAAAACTTGCTGGAACTCATAATTAAAAATGTAGTTTCAGAGCAGAATTTTTTAATTTATATGAATTTCCACCAGAATAGGAAAAAAACCGAATAGGAAAAGAAAGATAACTTTAATTTGTATTAGTTCTCTAAGGTTTCCGCATTTTGAATATACAGTATTTCACCTCTGTATGGTATCTTCTACGGCGGCTTTTTTCATTAAGTTAATTTAATCGACAAAAGTTTAATTTATTTTCAGGATTATGCATATTTACTTTGATTACTGAAACAATTACAGGTAAACATAGGGGACATATCAGAGAGAAAGGCCATTAGGGAGAGACTTCAGTGTAAATCGTTTGACTGGTACATTAAACACGTGTACCCAGAGGTGTATGTTCCATACGGATGTAAAGCAACTGGTCAGGTAACAAATGTAACGCGTGACATCAAAAATTAACATACTTCATGATTCACTTGTAGTAAGCTTGGTGTAAACAGTGTGTTTGGTACGACAATCTTCAGGAACAAATTGAACAAATATTGATGCATGCATATTCAAAAATAAGTCAAAATCAAAATGATTTGGGACAAAAAAATGTACTTCTATGCATTTTTTTTTAAAACACTTGCACTATCGTACAGAAGTTTGTGATTTTTATTACAGTAGGTGTCCAAATTTATGGATGCTTACTCATCGTAGGTACCAGATCCAACCAAATTTCCAGGGGTGTGTGTTTTATGCCCTGTTCATAAATTTATGTAAAATATTTTTGAGATCGATCACTGTTCGTTATTTTCACCCTTTTCATTGACAAGATTTTCCAAAACTATTCATCGGGGATTTCCTAAAAATATCACACTCTGTTAAAGTACATGTACCGTATATACTCGCATAAGTCGGTTCGCTTATAAGTTGGTCGTAATATTTGGAACTATGTTGATGGAAAGTGTATATGTCAAAATAAGTTCTTACTGTAGATGAACATTCGATTGTATTTACCAGTATAAAACATGGAGATAACGAACGGTATTCAAGCTCAAAGTCCATTGAAACAATACAAATCGGTAGCAGAGCAAACACGGACCTCCAAACACAACAGAGGTGGGATCAGGTGCCATGGAGGAGTGAGCATCCCCTACCGACCGGTCACACCCGCTGTGTGTATTAGGGCATGACATCGATGTTTGTTCAGTTTTATTATTTAAACTACATACAAACATAACACATGAAAAAATAAAATTATTTAATTCTGTAAGTGTTCATACTTAATGCATATAATAACCTTAGATGTGCCTTTTCTTTCTGAAATACGCTTAGCAATATATTACCACTTTTTGTCACCAGTCATTGTTTGGTTGGTACGTTTCGTGGTTTTAAAAAACCTATGTTTCTAGGACTCGCTTATAAGTCGTTATGGAGTTTTGGAACAAAATTTAACTCCTAAAAATTCTACTTATAGGCAAGTAAGTAGAGTTTGTTTCTTATTAAATTTCTTTTTCATAAATAATAGCAAAAAATTTATGTTTAAACCTACAATGACTGATTCTGAATTTATAATATTTACATGTATTTTAATCTTGTTACTGTAATGTTAAGATAAGTTTTAGCTTTATAAAATTTCTTTATTTTTACTTTAGTTTGTAATTAAAACGAAGCTCTGTGACAACGCACTTTGAAAAAATTACGCACTTTGATATTTTTTTTCAAATTGCGTGAAAATTGGGACAAAATCATTCATAGTGCATTAAATTTGGGACAAAATCAACGCACTTTGAAATATTTATTCAAAGTGCGTTAAGAGTGTACATCAACATTTTTTACCATGGAGACACTTATCCCACTTTGAAAAAATATGTATTAAACAAAAACTACATGTAATTTAGAGAAACAACTGATCATTTTAGCTATATGGCGCGTTGGTTGTCTCTTTAATATTCGGCCGAGCTGCAAAACCTTTATGTATCCACAATAGTTTCTCTGGAAAAAAAATGACATTTAAAGGGTAATTAAAACATGCTATGTTACAACGCGAAATGTAATAACAACGCAAAATGTAATAAACTGGAATTTGACGTGTCTAGCCTTTTATGATATCAAATTACAGATTTAGAAGTAATCTGACTGCATAATTTTTGTTTATAAGATTTTATTAAGAAAGTTTTAGTGATTTCAGTCGAGTGAGTAATGTGGCTAAGGTTTATTTTCCTTACTATCAAATAAATTAGTCAACCATTGTTTCATATATGTTCACAATAGATAGATAGATGAATATGATAGATAGATATATGAGAGAGAAAAAAATGCGATGCTTTAAGTCACTTGTCGACCCCTACATCTACCTTATTACAGACCAGGTAAAATTATGCGATTGAACAATCATTCCTCCATTATTTCTAAAAGACCCATTTCCCTTTTAAAATTTACGATAACCTTTGGGAATAAGACAACCTCTAAAAATCTTTAAACGTCTACATCTAAGCTCCTGAAGTGACGTAATCACCGAAAAGTTGTCCAACCAGGTTCACATAATTATTCATCATACCTAAAATTTGCAAGAATATTGACCGGGCACTTTGAAAAGAAATATTTTTTTCAAAGTGCGTTAACTTGGTCTCAAATTTTTTTCAAAGTGCGTTGTAATAAAGCTCTAGACACTGATAACTGAAGAATTCTAAATTTCACGGTAGTTTTAATCAGAGTGATCTGTCCGTAGACGTAAAATGAAATAAACGAAAATCTACAGTAAACAACACAATACATGAAAGTATTCTTTGCATTATCACAGATCAAGATCAATTTTAAGCATTATTTGTATGTATATTCTCAATAACAGTAAACAACAGCGATTTCTGTTTATTAATACTTCATTGTCTTTGAACATTTTTACTACAACAATATGTTAGATAATCTATGTTGATAAAGAACTATATAAACTCATGTAATTCTTTTATGAGAAAAAAAATGTTCTCAGAGTCTGAAGGGAATATTTTTCATTAGTGTTTAGAGCTTCCTCGAACACTAAACGCTAATGAAATCCCATCATATCAAAAATGTAGCATGAATGAATGTAATGCACCTAACGGTCAAACATGTTAGGGCGTTAATATTTCTTAGCGATAGCAATGTATTTTAAGATTGATATTTGACGGGCCATGATTTACGAACAGCAGCGAAGATATCAAAATATGAATTCCTATATAACAAGTATACATTCAGTGATTCCTTTATTCCTATATAACAAGTATACATTCAGTGATTTCTTTATTCCTATATAACAAGTATACATTCAGTGATTTCTTTATTCCTATATAACAAGTATACATTCAGTGATTTCTTTATTCCTATATAACAAGTATACATTCAGTGATTTCTTAAGGTGAAGATTAACAACATATGTATAGATTCCTATACCAGTGGAAATTTCTTTGGGAAACCTGTTTCTGTCAAAGGATGTGTTCCAGTAGGAATGTCGCAGGTATTGCAAAGCATATATAGCATAAAAATGAGAGTTAAAAATGCCTTGCTAATTTCAAGAAATGAAAGAGAAAAAAACCTCACGATATAGCTATATTCTATTCCATACATTTAATTTTTAAAAAGTACTATATTTTGTATTAAATAAAAAATATTTGGGGGTGTCTTTTTCTGGGATTTTACGTTAGTCAGCAATGCCTGATTCAATTATGTAAAATAAATGAATAATACTTTTAGCATTGGACATTAACGCGTGAGAATACAATAAGACGGGACGAGGGTTGTTTGGTGTATAATGGAATAAACAGTGTATTAGTAGGACCATGTACAACACTCAGCAAATATCTACAGTGGGAATATACACAGGTACACTCTACAATTCTCTAGCGTTCTTATTTGGTTAAATATCGTATCGTCGAATACGTCTATCACAGAAGAAATATTGAAATTGATGACACCCACATAACAAAACGGTAAAAACCAGGGAGAATATTTCAGTTTTGGATCTTAATTGATATTTCCTATCTATGACGAATTAGAACTTTGTTCAACGATCGTTTAGCCCGCCATTGGGTGATCAGGAGATACAGTTTACCCTCTACGTGATTCTGTCAATTAAACATTGACTCTGACAGGGCTAACTTTTATGCTTTTCGAATATGAATTAAATTCTAGTTCCCTTTAAAATTGTGCTAGTGTAAAGCTCGCTTACACTCCGCAGCCCTTCAAATTGAATTTTAATAATTATTTTTGATATATTCAAAAACTGTTCTATCCATCCGTGTGATAGTAATACCATAGCTGATATTATATTGTTTGTCATTTATTTGTACGAGTAAAACGAGAAAGAAAAATGTGAATTTAAATATTTATCTTTTCTTTACAGGAAAATGTTATTAAAAGTTATATTAATAATGCATGCATGGAACTAGACGAAATAAATGGAATTGTTGTGGTTCGAAATTGCTCACAAAGTCCTCTTCAGAAATGGACCTGGGAAAGGAGAACTATAAATTTGACGTAATTCTCATGTGCAATTAATCATTACTACTATATATTACATTTCACTTTTATACTTTTGTTTGTAAAATGTTATATAAAGATATATGAAGATATACAACATAATTTTCCATTTCATTACTTTAATACAAAAATACCTTGAACCAATCCAATAGTTAAGAAACCTACTCTTTCGTTTTTTATTATGTTTATAGTGCTAGCTCATCTATCTGTTTTATACTGATAAGCTTGTTAAAAAATTCAATCAATTCATCACCTATAGTTTGGAAGCGCCTACATATCCATTCACTTTAACTTTTCGGTGAGAGTCTGCATGGTATTCATTTGACATATAATTATGATTATTTTTGAACATCAAGTATTGTTATTTTCCTTTTATTCAATCCTTTGTAAATGGAGTATTATATAAACACACGGACACCAAATTTCAAAATTTTGAGCTTTCCAATTTTTAATTTTCCTTATTTAAACATCTTTCGAATAATATTTACTTCAAGAAATAATAATCATTTTTATCTCAAACTCAAATATTGACTTTGCCTTAATATATCACATGATGAAAGGTGATAAAAAGTTTTTAAAAACTTAATTTTAAGAATTGCTAGCGGATTTTTTTTAAGGTAAATGTTAACTACTTGAAACATTTCTTTTGAAAAAAAAGTAAATGCTTTTTTTAAAAATTCCAAACACTTTTTAAGGATATTGCAAAGGGAATAAAGACAAGACACCAGTCCTTAATTTGCTTTCAATTTATTTTTAAATTGTATTTACCAGGCATGTATTGTAAATCTGAAGGATAAGTGAACGTCTCTGCCATATAAGCAGACAATCATAAATATTAACACGTGTACTCATTAAGATGGCAATCAGAAAAACAAGAGATTTAACACTGTTATGAAACATATTTTTCTATATTTATAACTGTTTTCTGACCTCGTATGTAAAAGGAAAGAATAAACACAGACATAATCACGCAATATTACGTATAATTTATTCCTCTGTTTTTGTCAGAATCAATCGGTACACTCGTAAAACAAACTTTGTTTAACTAACTAAATTACAACTAGAAATGAAATAAGAATAAACATCGAACTCAACAATATATTCTGACAAACCTGCAGCTGTTACGCAAATGAATTCAGCTGTGTTCCAGAAAATCATCCAAGCAATAGAGATGCAGTATGAAATTAAAATTATTGAAAATAAGAAAGCATTTATTTAATCGTTTCTCAAGGTCATTAATAATTGGATATATATGAACTTTTCTTTCAGGCAATCTTTTAACGTCAGCAAGGTAACGGATAACCAGAAACTGTAATATTATCTTTTTTAACTAAGACAAAATGATTAAAAAAGATATTTCTGAATCACTTTTTAAAATACGTTTTAAATTTTTAAAGTTTTTCAATCTTCATGCTCAATTAAAGGTTATAGGTATTTAAGAAAAAAAAAAGAATTATATGGATTCATTTTGCTTCTTTTTTTAGCTTTGATCAAACTTATGAACTTTCAAGTCCATTTGAAGATGCCTTAAGAATGCTACAGCAATAAAAAAAAAATCAATCCGCATTTATTGTAATGAAAGCATTATTTAGGACTTCATTTCTTCTTATCATAATCACACTTCATTATTATTTAGGAAAGCTGACGGAGGTCCTTTTCTGCTTACAAAGAAAATACAGTGCTTATTAATCAATGACAAATTTATTCTTTATTCACCATTCTCCCAATCAAATAAAGCTGACGTAGCTTTCATGATGGTAACTGTACATATTAGAAAAAACGCAAGAATATCTCTCTCTCTCTCTCTCTCTCTCTCTCTCTCTCTCTCTCTCTCTCAACATTAGTTGGTCATTTCACTTAACTATGCTGCCTATTGATGTTACCGTGCATGAACAATGACAGTAACTTAGGGTTCACAGAGAAGTCGACACAATGGTCTTTATAAATTATGAACTACATTTTCGTGCATTCTTAATACACTATGATTTTATCTGCAGACGTGTATGTCAGGGCCACATTCTGTAGACTCGTATTTAGCGTTCATTTTGTGAGTATCTATAAAGTAAATAACATGGTTGGCTGACTTCCTTTCTGTTTGTCCATTATGTAGGATAGAAATATTCAGCAAAGTATACATGATTTTATCTTCATCATAAATTATTCTTATGAGAATCTTGTGTCGTTTCCTCTTTGTCTCAGAAAGTTTTTCTCCCACGTATTATATATTATTTCTGCTAGTATCTTTCATTAGAAGATGATAAAATGATAACAAATTGTATATGGGTACATGTCTGCAGGATTTATTGAGTCAATTGTACGAGACGTCAATCATCTTTGTCCTTTCTGAAGTGTTTCTCTTCATCCATAACATTGTAATGTTAATATTTCAAGACACAAGTGGGTGTGATAAACAATTAGCGGGATGCAATTATCTAAGTTGTTTTGGTTGGTTGTCTGCTTTCTTTACGATCCTTTCGAGAATATTTCACTTATTCTTCGATCTTTCGAGAATAGTATAACTCATGTTGGGACGCCACCAATTGTTAGTGAAAGGCTGCAAATTTAGACTTGTACTCGGCAGCTATGACCAGTGATAAGCTCTGTCAGTATCTTAAATGCGATACTGGACCTCGTGTAATACAGTCTCATTCGAAGGACTGGTATCAAAGCAGAAGGATTAGACTCCTCGATATAAAGATCTACTCCTTAGTCGTCTACTCTTACCGAGAGTGACTCATGTTATAACTACCCGATAAGTATAATATTCACCAAGTCCGAAGGGAGAGCTGAATACTGTACTTCTAGAGTTGACTTAAAAACAGTGATAATTCTTTAATTGTATTATTCAATGATTAAATTATACAAAGTCGCTTAGCAAACCTTGCTTTGTTCCTTGATTGTTAAAAATCTGTTAAATCCTAGTCAAGTGCATTGAGAAAAGGGGGATTAAAATAAACATAACCGGTTGTATCGATTTGAAATTTCTAGATCTATTTTTGGTCGGGTGAAGGAAAAAAAATAAATGTAATGTTCACCTGGAAGTTGGGTGCAGGTGAAGTAACTTTTCAGGACCAGTTGTATCACTTTGTATTAATTGGTCCCTGCTGACAAAGCAGGTAATAACATGGTCTTTGTTTGTAAGGCTCATTATTTCAATTATATCTAAGAGGAACTGGGATTTAATTCTGCAAATGGTAATCCAACTTATAGCTCCCTTGCAAGGAAATTCTTCAAAATCCTGATTTGTATTGTTTGAATGGACTTTTGAGCTTGGAAGGTCGGGTGCAGGTAAACATAACTATCTAACTTTTAATTTGGAATGAAAATGGATATAACAAACAGTTATCAAGCTAAAAAGTCTATAAAAACAATACAAATCGGTAGCAGAACAAACGCGGACCTCTAAAAGCATCAGAGGTGGGATCAGGTGCCATGAAGGAGTAGGCATATCCTAACAAAAAACGCAAACAAAAAAATTCGTAGACAACTTAGTGCGTAAAAAATTGTTTAATGGTCTAATAAAAAAAAAGCGTCAGTCAGCATTCGACTTATTTATAACTTGTGTTTGCTGACATGGTCATTGTATCGACCATAGAACTTGCGAAATGTTAAATTCAAATGAGACTGTTGATATCCTTCTTTCATCAACTTGTTTGTCAAAAGATGGCATGCTCTTGCGTATTGAAATCAACTGAGAGAGATAAACTCCATATGCAGGTGATAAGTGTATATTGATTCATAAATAAGGGAAGTTGACAATAGAAAAATTGAAGCTTACCATAAAGTTGTTAGGTTACCATTAACGTCTTTTTCTAATAAAATATCCGAATATGAAACAGATGCGTCAGACACTGTGGTGTCATTTATTTCAAGCTCACTGGAATATATTGAGTCGACATATGAATGGAAGTAACTATTGTTAATTGATAATATGTCGTTGATATATCGAAATGTCGAGTTGAAGGCCACAGCAAGTGTTTTTTCTTCTCATGCATGAGTTTTTTAATAAATTCTGCTTCATATGAATACAAAAGTAGGTCTCCTAATAAAGGGAGCGCAATTAGTACCCATGGGAAATTTCTACAGATTGTTGGAAGACTTGATCTATAAAAACAACATACATGTAGATATTATCAATCAGAAACTCAAGCATCTTTTTTAATATCAACTTCAGAGTTCTTTAGTCTACGATCAAAATGTTTTTAAACAAAAACATTTTGCAAATAACCGATGACAAGGTAAGTAATTTTATGGTTCGATTTTTATTGAAAAAGCAACTGTCAATGAACTCAAAAAGCCTGGAAAAGTGTTGAAAAGTCAAACGTTTGAATGCTATTAATTTTGGTAAAATTTTGTGATTTCAAATTTTCTTAAAGTTCCTTGGAGTTTATAAGTATTCTAATCTGATATACACCACTTCTCGCATGTATTGTTATGCAGTACTCCTGAAGTTTCTCCCTCACTGCTGTTAATATTTAGAGAGGCTTGGCAGAACATTTATTGGTGTCTACTTCGAAATAATATTAAAAAACACCTTTAATATATGGATTACTTTGTCAAACGAGTTAATATCAGTATGCTGCTATTGGAGATAATGAAATTTTCCACACTAGAAGTAAATAAACTGACGTACCATGAATTCTATGGTTGTTGATGTCTATTTGTTTCATACTTATCCTGTCGATCTTAATTATATCAGGGAATACCCCCACTATATACAAAACACAACAAGCATCATAATGCTACCTTGATATGTCTGTTTCGTTGTGGTTCAGAAAACTGTAGGATTGTTGATTTTCTATTTTTTTTTCTTATTTACTTTATCGAAATAGTCAGTGGATAACTTATAAATAGCAGCTAGGGATGGGGTTATGAAAAGCAATTTAAACAAGCTGGACTGAATTTTAGCGATTTAAAGGGAAAATTAGTTTATTTTCTGTTACATTCCCAGTGCTAACACACTTTAAAAATGCCCTAAGGCACTGGCTTCTTTCAATGAAATTGGGGAAAAAAATGGAAAAATTTTATAACCATCTCTT